AAGGCCGTCCGCCAGTCACTCGAACAGCCTTCATTATAGTTGGCTACAGTTTGTGATTCCCAGCTGACGGCATATCGGGAAGAGAGCTGTCACCAGCAGCGCGGCATAGTTTCGAAGAGCTGGTGCCTGAACCAGGGCTCAGTGGTTCAGCGACTTTATCGCTGGCTGGGTACTGACTTGCTGAGTCCTTGCGATGATACTACGGCATGGGGATCATTTCTTCAATACATCGCGGAGCGCGAAAATCACGGGAACATGGTTAAATCGAATAGTAAAAACAGTTTTTTAAGACTTTCGAATTTTTAGTATTCCCGAGCGCAACCTGAAACTAGCATAGAAAGATGCGCGAGACTTTTCAGCATCGATTGGTGTATCATTTAGCGTGCGCGAGGAATACTAACATTGAGAAAAATCGCGATTTGTAGGCGAAACGCGGAAAAAAATGCCCCATGAAAATACAAAGTTGTTAATTTTGAGTAATCTGAGGTATCAAAACGTCTCTAGAAGCCGAGCTGAAGCGATTGCAAAAAGAGCAAAAAGAAATCCCCTTTCTTTCGATGTCGCGGAATCGAACCCGACCCCTCCGCCTGGGAGCCCTGTGGCATAATGAGTAGAGCGTCGGCGTGCCAATCCAGAGCCGCCGCTAGTTCAATCCTGGCCTCCCTCAGAAGCCGAATTTCTTTTTGCTCTCCTTGCTACCGTTTGCGCTCGGCTTCTAGAGCGCGTTTTGATACCCTCAGATTAACAAAATTAACAACTTTGTATTTTTATGGGGCATTTTTTCCGCGTTTTTCGCCTACAAATCGCGATTTTCTCAATGTTAGTATTCCTCGCGCAGAATAAATGATACACACCAATCGATGCAGAAAAGTCTCAAGCATCTTTCTATGCTAGTTTCAGGTTGCGCTCGGAATACTAAAAATTCGAAAGTCTTGAAAAACTGTTTTTACTATTCGATTTAACCAGTTGTTCCCTGTCATTTTCAGGCTTCGCGATGTATTAGAGAAATGATCCCCATGCCAAATAGGGTATTGTCACAAAGGAACAGCAAATTCTGCGCAGAAGCTGGGGAGATAGTTTTTCGCGGTCGGCTACTTTGAGGCCCATTTAAACACCAAAAATTAACTTTTTTAAACTTTCAAAACTATGGGAAGTCAAATGATCTGACTATCCTCTTCCGATGCCGTCAAAAAACAGGGTCGAAAAAAACTGTGCCGAGCCTATTTCGGTCCACCCGCAAACGGCCTTTTGAAGCGCCTTTAGATGGCGACCGTTCTCGAGCAGGCCGGTGTTCCTTGCCTCCCTACCATGCGGGCCTTAAGAATCAGGTAGACTTTACGGATTTTTCCAAATAAATTCATATTTTTTCGTTGCGCGACGAGGTGCAAGAGAAATGGATGCGCAAATTCGAGTTGGCGGCTATCACGGCGACGATCGCGTTCGGGATGGGCATCGACTGGCCGGATCGCTGATTGCAGATCCACTGGACGAGCCCTTCCAATATGGCCGCTTACTATCAGGTTTTCGGGTTCTGAAGAATTGGATGCATTTTTTAGGAATCCGGACGCGCTGGTCGAAACGGTCTGCGGGCCTATACTGCCGCATCTATCACAGCAATCCCGGACTCCCGCTTCGGGAATTTCTTGGTGGCGCGGGAAATTGGACAGGTCAAGGTGAATATAATCTTCAACTCGGAATCCTAATATCCAAAAATTTATCCTAATGCAATTTCTGGAATAAAAGAGCGGCAGCGAGAAAGAGCGGGACCAACAAGCGAAAGCCATCGAGCTTGGCTATCGGAAAACAGATGGATTAGCATCGAGAGCCCAGGGTCAGCTCGGACAATTATTTTCTAAAACCGCCTCTCTAGCTGTCGTCACGTCTCCTTTGGCGCTTCTTTGGAGATGAGAAGACGAAGGCGTGCAAAGAGAATTGTGATTTCGTTTGAACCCTAAACAGGTAAAATCTAGGAGATACGGCAATATTTTTGTCGTTTAGACGGGAGACGGCGGGCCGATCGGTACCGGATGCTGCCACAAATGGAAAGGGCATGGGAGGGGAGGGGAGTAGGCGCCCTGTCGACGAACGAGAATTGTGGTGTGGAGTGCAATTGTGATTTAGTCCCTTTAAAGGGGGTAGGAAGAGAATCGAAAATGCTGAGTTGATCCCCCCCTAAGGAGGCGGGGGTCTAAAAGCATTTGCAATCGCACCTTCCCCGGTCTCTTTAAATGTGGGAGCTTATCTTCCGTAGTGAGTAGGATCCCCAAGACGAGAGGACAAAGATGTGGAAGATGAGGGAACATTCAAGAGTGCCCGCGAACGCCTCGACAAGGTAAATTGCGAACGAGGCACGCGCAATGATCGCCGGAGAATTGGTGAAACGACGCGTCAATGTAAGCTATTAGGGGGCGTATTATTTCGGTACTGACCGTTTACGGGGGGTAGATAGCGGGAAAACTAATTTTTATTTTTCCGTCTAGATTCCGTACCCTCCCGCTAAGAGTCCATTACTCCCATTGACTGCCGAACCTTTCAGAGGCTCAAAATGAACGAAGGAGACTAAATGACGCTGCGCCACTCCGTATCAGGTAAAAATGGGAAATATTGAGTTTGACCTTTTTAGATTGTCCACCGCTAGATTTGAAATGATAAGTGCATCCCGAAATTAACGAAAGAGGAAACCAAATTTCTGTTTTTTTTTCTTGATAAAAGTATTTAGAAAAGAAACGGTGTCGTCGACGCCATCAGAAAAGCGTTGAAGTCGAATTCGGCTCGACGCCGCCATCATTTGGTGATTCTTTTCTACAGTAATGTAAAATTCTGTTTAGGTCCCAAAGACTGCCCAACAAATCGAGCTCGAGATCTTCAAGACGTCCAAATTCGATGGTGACTAGCAGCAGTAAAGCCGCTGCAAAAGTATGAAGAAGCTTGGCGGTAGAATTTCCTCGTGTAATATTTTAGGTGGGAGAGATTCGAAAGAAAACGAAGGCATCCTGGAAGAGTATCTGTGGCCCCATGCAGCGACAACCCGTTCGTCAACGCGTCCAATTTACTTGGCTAGTTGCTCAGTTCACACCATCTGATTTGCGTTACGTTTTCGAATTCCATTGCCGATAAAATAATTATCAAACAGGGGCGACAATGACAGCTGTTGTTTGATTGTTGACAGGGGTGGGGATAGACAAAAACCGAAAACAGATAAATAGTGTACGTTCGGATATAAATACTGTGGGAGGGGAGGGAATCGTAGGCACAAGGACGAGATGATGAAGAGCATAACCTGGTCCTGGTTGTGGTAAGCATGGGTTGTTCACGGACGGCCTCGACGGGATAGGGCCCTGACCCGTCCCGCGTCCCGGAATAATTTTCTCCGATAGAGCGGACGGCTGACGGGTCCGGACGGGCCGGACGAGCCGGAATAGCCGAGCCCGCAATGAAGCGAAGAAGCCAAAACTTGCATGATAATTGATGACATGACCGTTTTTCGCCTCTTTCCGAAGTAAAGCAGCTATGTAAATTAAGAAAAGGCAACAATCGATCGAAGATGTTAATTTGCTTGCAATGAGTTTCCGTAGTGCTTCCGGTCATTTGCATTAGGACGCGCGGACGCCCCAGCCCGCACTGCGTCCGTCCGGCTTCCGTCCGGAGCCCGTCCTGGGCATTTTTTTATGCAATTGCGCGACGGGACGGGTCCGCGTCCCGGCCGGACGGACGCGCGGACCGGACCCAAAATGAACAACCCTGGTGGTAAGTCAAAAACCGGCTCACTCTAAAAGCCAAAGGCGGAGGAAAAAAATAGAAAAATTGAAATAGCACTAAACTGCATAGCAGGTGGTGGGGAAACCGAGAATGTGTGTGTAGAAGATCCGACTCGATAATTTTCGACAACTGAGAGTTTGGGGGTGTTTCGAACAAAAGCTTGCGCGGTGGGATTTTTAGTTCCAGGGTGGTGAAAACCGATTTTTACGAGTAATTGCGTAATTGCATGAGTTTTGAACGATTAAAAAAGTGATCTTTCCAGAAAAGGTGTAAAATCGTAAACGAATCATAATAATTATAATCTCGATCCTCGATTGAAAAGGCAAATTTTTCGTAAATAGATAGTCGTGAAACTTTACAAACTGATCAGAAAATTCGTAACATATCGATTCTCCACTAAAAAGTACTTCGGTAAAACAGTTTTCTGTGTTCTAAACAGTTTTTGTTTGTTCGAAATCTATTCAAAAGCGCAAAAACGTTTGCGATTACAATATTAGGCTCAGGAAAACCAGTTTTCCCCAAAACGCTAAAAACACGAGTTTGAGGCATCAGGAAGGCAAATTGTGGTTAGAGGGGCAGAAGTGAACGGATGGGCGGATAACTACATCCATAGTAAAACCGGGGCAGAGTCAAGACGTTGCGCGCGCGGGAAATGCCGAGGAGGGAGAATTGCCGTAAGGATGGGTGGGGATGGCCAAAGTGAGTGGCGGCGAGACAAAAAGATAAGATAGTTAAATCCTAAAACTGAAAAATACAACGAATGGAAACATTCACCAAGATCCTTTGGCGGAAAAAAACAATAGTGGAGCTCATTCTCGTAGACGGTAGCCCGCTTCTCGCCGGAACCGTGATCAGCATCAGCTCGTCGCTGGAGATGTCGCACGAGAGGACGGAGGACGTTTCCTGGAATTAGGGGTTGATTGGGAATATATGGCGATGACGATGAAACAAAAAAAAGTGAAATCTGTTTTGTTTCAATAACAGGGGGAGGCAATTTTTCTAATATAAATAGAACATTTTTAAATTTTCTAATTAAAACCAGGGTTGAAAAGCCGCTTCGAGACTTTTCAACCCTGGCCCCGTCTGACTCCATTTTATCCTGCACTTTCCATAATTGTCCTGAATTCAGATGGCAAAAATGAAAATAATCTCTTCTGCCCCTTTATAATCGAAACCCCATTTCCGGTCTATGCTAATCGTTCCTAACAAATAAGTTTTCACAAAAGCTTAAATTTAACGTCGAAAATCGCTGTTTTTGTAAAATCTGATATGTGTGCAGTCATCTCAAGACCATTGCGCACCTAATGACGTCTCATACATACCTTAAAATTCATCCCCTATCGAGATATGCTCCGGACAGACAGACGAAAGTGGATGCAAAGTGGCACAGACACACAGACACTATTTTTATATCTATGGTGTCCAAAAAATCCCCGTCTGAGCTGGCCGCAGACCTGTCCGATTTTTACGACTTAGGTATCCATCGAAAGCTTTCGGAAAGGCGAGTCCAGCACGTCTTGCCGATTTTCGAAATGTCGGAATTTTTTGCTCGATTTTCGGCATTTTTCAGGGCAAAAGGATACGCTTTTCGTCCCAAAACGCAGTTTAAACTGTTTAAGCGCCATCCAAGCTGTGACTGCAACGGCTCTCAAAGAGCTGTCGTTGGGCTGCCAGGAAAAGCGCCAAAGTTCCGAAATTGGTAATTTTTGTAAAAACACCTTGATCAGAAAACATCAGAAAATCGCGCGTTTCGCAAAAACATAGTAAATGCTATAAAAATTTCAAAATTTTGAAAATCGGAGAGTATGCTTGACCGTCTAACTGAGAGTTTCTGATAGATACCTAAAACGAAAAATCGGACAGGTCTGCTCGTCTTTGGGATTTTTTTGGGACACCCTGTATAGTAGGAGTAGGATACCGGTAAACTAAAAAATAGTATTAAAAGAACGCGAAAGCGGTTCTATTGCAACAACTGGAAGCCATGTTTTTCCTTCAGTGCCCAATTGTTTTCTTTACTAGATAGTGGACCTTTTTCTGAAACCTGTCATAACGGAGTGGGTCGGGCTCTATGCCAGAGACACACACCAGTTACGATCTTCCATGTTGGGGCTGTTACTACTCTGAAGTTAGGAACCCTAATCCAACTTGACCCGGCTCCGCGCCATAGGTTGTTCTATGAGATGTCCCAGATACGAACTATGACTAAGGATGCGAATTTGTGACGTTGACACTCTGTTGAATAAGGGGGGAAACTCCATGAGAAGTCTTAATGTATATAAGAGTGATTTGTTACCCAACGCACTTGTTAGGAGGGGTTTATTAGAGTAACTTAAACTGTCATATAACAACTGGGGACGGGATAGAGACCGAGAAAGGAAGTCGGCCGGCGCGGATACAGACCCTAACAATTATGATTCCTAGAATTTTATAAAGGTCACAAAAGGACTGAACTCTGGTCGGGCCCGAGAGGCCCCCGGTCTCCCGTGGGACTTCGAGTTAGCTGAGCTTAGGGGACAGGCTTCTCACGCGTCTCCTAGGATCGACTGACTGATTCGGGAATCGAGGATGACCCGCTTGGGGCAGATAATGGAGCCGCAGGCACCATTAAGCGTATATACTACAACCATTAAGCGTATCTACTACAAACCGTATAAGATCCATTCGATATTTTGAGGATCTACGTCCAGTATTCTACGTTTCGGCCTTTTCGGACTTTGGACTAAAAACCAACACTACCCCCCATACTGCAAAAGGACCGAGAAAACTAAAAACAATACCCGATAATTGACGAGATTGGCGCCGTACGGGGATCGCCACAGATTGACGGCGTTGTCCTTGCCGGTGCTAACGAAGAAATTGCCCGTCTGCGAATATTTCAAGGAAAGCACACAGCCCTCATGCATGTGCATCGAGTATTTCTCCGCTTGGCTGGGGGAGACGACCTAAAAAATCAGAGTTTCGTAAAAAAGCGGCACTCTACCTCGACAATGTTGCTCTCCATTCCCACCGCCACCCAATCATCCTTTGGCGAGCAGCTGAGCGAGAAGATTTGGGACGGGAAGTCGTATTTCGACGTCTCCTTCAGTTCCCTGAAAATCGCATCTGTGAAAAAATCCCGATATTTCAGATTTTTACCGGGACGGGGATTGTTCCAGTAATCCTGTACGGCCCATAACAAAATATGGATCCTTTTATAGCGTTTTACATCATTCTTAGATACAGAAAGAACAACGTGATTATAAAATTATATAAAATGACTGAATTTTGGGCAAGAATATCTATGAAAAATGACCAAAGAAAGGCCAAACTTTCGTATTTTGAAACTTTTCCTCATTTTTTAGAACTTTCTAGCAATCAAAAATACTCTAATACACTCTAAAAAATAGATTATAAATTACCAACAGGTAGGCATAGACAGAAAAACAAAATTCAACCCCCGCTAACATTCCAGAACTATATAAAGCCGGTGGTGCAGTTTACACCCCCCAGCCGACCCCACCTAGCGTATCTCATGTTTGTCTTGCTCTGGTGAGTATTTTGGTATACTTTAGCACACCTGTAGATGAACAGGGATCCGAGATACGCTAGGGTGAGGGTCGGCTGGGCGGGGGTGGGCGGGGGTGAACTGCACTCTAACTCTATATGCCTCCAAAAAACCCACCTAATATCCCATGCTCGGAGCGTCTTGAATGGAGAATCGCCCGTCCACAACGTTAGCCCATCTGACGAGAGGTCGATGCATCGATGCGCCGTCGCTATGCCCTTGCAGGGTTGACATCTGAAGAAACAAATTAAATAGCTAACAAGGCGCACTTCCTCAAAAGTACGCGTGTCGTAGATTTTAAACACTTTCCCATCAGACCCGCAGGCGAACAGCGTCTGGGGTCGGGCGACATGCACATAGCGTACGACGGTGCTTGCAATGTCACTTTCCAGTTCTTTCAAAGACTTTCGGTTCGGAAAAAAACAGGTTTTGGAAGCTCCTTTTTTTTTTTTTTTTTTTTTTTTTTTTTTTTTCTTTCTTTGAAGGAATGCCGACTGCATCGCTGTCAATCGGTTACGCAGCGGAAAAGAAAATCTCTCTGCACCTCTCCCAGGACGCTCTCTTCTGCCCCGTTGGTTACTTGCCAATTTGTTGATGGGGGGGATCGACACATGCCATAGGCAGCCTTTTAAAAGAGATCTTTACCTGCACGTCCCAGACGGCGATCGTCGAGGCCTCACCACCAACGTAGAGACGCGTCGAGTCGGCCGTTAATCGAATCGATCTGATGTACTGATCGCTCCTGGCAGCCAAGGCCAGACACTGGTACTGAGTTGAGCCGCGGGCTTGAGCTCCCCGAGCTTGACGGCAACGTCCAGACCTGGGAAAACGGTCTATTCTTAGAATCAACTTTTTACTTTCATATGGCACAGTAAGTGGAAATTTCTTTCCACAGCTGTGAAAAGTACCGTCTCTTTGGTCTTATCGTGCGGAACCAATTTTTTTTCTACAAGTCCAGAAATGCCTAGTACAGCAATCAGGCACGTAGCGTGTAATGTCGCCCCCCCGGAAATCGGTCAGCCCGGAAAATTGGGACCCTTATCATTTTGATTTTCTCAAACATTTTGTTGCTTGCGGCGATATTTCTTAGGGGGTTTCAGACTATTTTTAGAGCTATGAACCTCTTTTCCAATTTTTTTTTGCCTGCGGCGCTGTTTTTTCACGGTAAGGTCTCAATCTTGTTCGAAAAATATTTTCGCCCCCGCCCGAAATTTTTTTCTGGCATGCCCCCGAAAACGTATTAGACGTGTTTTCAAAGTTTTAGTAAAATGTAACTATATTTTAAGTGGCAAACATTAAAACCCAGAAAAAACTTGGGATGAAATTTTGGTCGAAAAATTGCTTTTTTGTATTTTTCTATCCAAAATTTGTAGTTTTAGTTGTAGTATACATAGTTAAAAAACAGTTTAGGGACCACCAAGCACAGGGATACATATAAAAATTACCTTAACACATCCTTTTCCTCCCATAAACACCGTCTCCTCATTCTTTGCCACCGTTACTGCACAAACGACGTCTCCATGGGGCAGTTCATCGACCTAAAAATTATCTACATAAAACTCTCCACTGATACCTTCTTCAAATTCTTGGGCATCCCCGGCGCGGTTATGGCATCGTTGGGAAAGATCTGTGGGCCGTTGCACGCCGCTCTCAATCGTGAAACTGTACCACGGGCGAGCCCCGTTCTGCATGTTCATTCCGGCAGCGGCCAACTACAAAAAGAGATAATTAAAATTTACAGAAAATCAGCCACAGCAAAGGGGAAAATTCTATGATTACGACATACGGGCTGTGTGAAGACATGACAAACGGGCGACGGACGCAAGGCCAATTTCATAAGTGCAGCTTCCCCGGTGCCATCTGCGCATCTGCCAAGGCCTTCCGGCAGCTAACTGATAAGATTTTGCCGCACTAATTACCTAACAAAGTCTCCGAAAATCCAGAGCAACGGCTAATAATAACAGTAAACAAATTGTTTGAATACATGGATGGTTTCTACCATGTGCAAAGGAAATTATTCTCTTACCTTTACCAACAGCTCCAACGGTTTCACCCAGACTCTGACGTAGCACTCTTGCAAAAAATATTTTACTGACCTAATTACTGTGCCAGAACTTTCCGATCATCGATGTGCCTGACAATTTGTTTACTAGTATTATTAGCCGTTGCTATAGATTTCCAAGATTTTGTTAGGTAATTAGTGCCGCAAAATGTTATCATTAGCTGCCGGGGAGGCCTGGAAGCCTTGGCAGAGGCCATCAGATGGCACCAGGAAGCTGCACTTATGAAATCTTGGCCTTGCGTCCTGGATCCCAAACAAACCGGCTTCGACGTGTACTTGACTTGACTTGTCAGCCAGTTTTCAACGAATCGCCGTTTCTCGATAGCCTGTTGGAGTTTCTCGAAGTGGAGGAGCTCGGGTGGCTTGTGTAGATCGCCGGGCCTAGGCAATACGTGATGGAGGGGTGGCTGCTGGTGGGGTTGAAGCCGAATGGGCAATCGCGGAACAGCGAACGCGCCTGGTGGCTTGGTCACATTCGGAGGTGCCGATTGCCTCGGGATGATGATGATACGCCTTGGGGGTTGAGCTTGAGGTCGGGCCTCGGGTGCTTGCTGTTGCTCTGGATTTGGTGGTTGTGCTTGTTGAGCTTGAACTTGTTGCGCTTGAACTTGTTGAGCTTGACATGGATGGGTTAGCCGTGCCAACACCTACAGGACAAAACGATAACAACCACACACGGCGAATGGCCTTGCTCGCGTTGACGGCGATAGAAAAAAGCCATTTTTTTGCGGAATGAAAGAATTAGTAGAATTTTGCGAATTGTTTGGAAACGCCATTTTCAACAATGAGCAAGACCATTCAAGACAGCACAGCAAACAAAGGAGGGTCCTACGCTTTACTCACCATTCTCGCATGGGCATGCGGGTCGAGACCGGGGATCATGTGTGGGCCGCCGGGGATTTGTGGAAGTCGTGCTCCGGCGGCGAGCGCGTCGAACGGATTCCGGGGAGCACGGGGGATTCCTGGGGTCGAAGCGCCGGATGATGCTACCGAGTGGGCAGAGTCGCTGAAAAATAAACGTTTTCATTAGCTTCAAATAGCAAGAATACGCCGAAACGAAAAAATTATATTTCTTGATAGATTAAATATACCGAAAGCCAAAACCGCTTCTATCAAAGAAAAAAATATCAATAAAAAGACGTTGCAACTATGCCTATCTCGGAAAGAATAAAATAATTTTTTTGTAATATTATCTTACATTATTCCCCACATTTTTATTCCGAGTTTTTCTTACGTTTTTGTCTATATAAAAAAGGTAAAACAATGCCGCGATACAAAAGGACACATCAATCTTTCCAAAAAGTTTGCCCTTACCGTCCACTCTCCGATTTGGGCTTCCGTTCGTGGCCATTGGTCTGCCCGCTCCCACTCGGCTCCTCCACTTCGACGTCAATATTCACGGCCTCCTCATCATCAGGGTCAACCCGTCTCCGTTTCGAGTCGCCGTCTTCAACCTTCGGTGATCGCGGCCTGGCGCTATTTGATCGTTCATTGTTTGCCTAAAGCAATAGTCATGGCTTTTCATCATTCAGGACACCTGTGCTAACGCTGCAAATGCGGGATTGGCGGCAAAAGCGGCAGCGGGGTTCATGAAGGGCATTCCGGGCATCTAAACAGCAATGATCATGAATTTCCGAGCTTTGAGTCACCTGCATGCCAAGTCCGCCGCCAAAAAGAGCCATTGCTTGTGCTTGTGATGTGCTGGCCAAGGCTTCACTGGCCGATACTTGCTTCGCGCGGTCAAAAGCTGCTGATGCTGTCGTGGCTTGCTCTGGCGGCAGGAGGGCGATCACCTGTAATAAAAACATAGTTTTGACTAAGGTTCTCGATTATTAGCGGGGGGACGGCTTTTTCCTATGACTCCAGGTCACCTTTGGAAAAAAACTGTAGGTGATTCTGGGTGGAAAAAGCCGTTCTTTCGATATAACCCGGTTTTTAACCTGTTCGGGTTCAAATATGTCCCGTTTACTCAGGAATAGTCAACACAATGTACAACAAAACCAAAATTTGAATTTTGAGATGAAAATCTAGGATTTGCCGACAAAAGGTTGCCCCTCCCCCACTTGTGCGAATATCGAAAACCAAGGGTTTCATCCAACCTGCTGCAAGACGTTGCTGAGCTTCTTATTCATCTCGCTCTGCTTCATGATCTCGGCGTTCATCGTCATGCTCATCTCGTAGCACATCATCATTTGTCGTTGCATCTGTTCCCGTTCTGCAACACCACCTATGACGGAGTTACAACGGAGAGTGGGAATGGAGGATATGTGGGGGATGATGGCGGGCCTTCACAACCACCACACGAAAAAGCCACTAAAAACGCACCGATGCTGATCTTTTCGAGTTCTTGGCGTTGTTGGGCTAGCTGGGATTGTACTTGGTTGTATTCATCCCTAAAAGTATGATATTTTAGTTCGGAACTGAGCTTACTTGATACAATCGAGATGTTGTATGAGGCCCATGTGGTTCTTCTGGCTGCTTCCGCCGCCGCCCTGCAAAAAGTAATAAAAAATGGGTTTTTGCGAAGTGAAGTACTGAAAATCTGCTCAGAAAATTAAGGATTAGAACGGAGTTGATACTGCGTCCCAAAAAATCTTTCAGAAAGGCGATCCTGGGGCCTGAAAAAGGATATACTCTGGCGCAGCAAAAAGCGCCAAACTAAAAATTAGGCACTAAAAAAGACCGAGAAAGTCAAGGATTAGAAGTAAATGTCGAAAACTAAATTCTAGTTACTAACGAACACGCGAAAAATTATATAAAGCATCTAAAAATCGTTCAAAAAGGGTGTTTGCAGCCCCAAAAGGGTAGATTTTCTCGTGTAGCAAAAAAGCGCCAAATTCCCTCCTAATTGAAAGAGAGAGAGAATTTCTGAAGCCCACAAAAATTGGGTCCAGTCTCTTTTATTAAATTTTTGGTAAAAAAATAGCCTTCAACCTCCGTTAGAAAAAGTCAAAATGAATAATCGGGAAGCCTAGCTCATAAAGGGATACCCAACCTTCCCGGCCAAAAAAAACCATGAAGCGGGGGGGGGTTGAACCCCCGGACCACCTGTTTGCAGGTCTGATCACATTAACCAAAGTGCAAGCCATTGATGGGATGGGCACGACAAGGGGGGAGAGTGGCGGCCTCTCTAGTGGCATTGGGGGCCCCATTGCCGCACAAAATTCGAGCGTCATTTGTACTGCCCGGAATCCATAACTATATATTTGCCGCCAAAACCTTGGGTATCCCTTTAATAGAAAAAGATAAACATAACAATAGGAGGGCAACTGGCGCGATTCTGGAAAGAATCGACACACCCATACATATGCAGGGATCATTACAAGAAGGGGGAGTGTAGGGGCGGGTATAGCAAGGACACACACACTAACTGACTGAGATCCCAGCCCAAGATCCACCACATTGCGCCCAATCGCTGGGCCGATTCCCAAGGACTTTCCGGTCACAACTGCTTGCACTAGGGTTTGATAGGTATTTTAGGTTTGTTGTTACCAGTATAGGGCCGAAACACCTTACTAGATAAACAACCTAGGGTTTTCAGTTCGGAGGAGGTCCAAAATTTGGCAGAAGATCTTGATTAAAACGTCTATTAGTGCTAAATGTAATCTACTGACCATTAGAGCGGGAATTCAAAGCTAAATACCGGCAAATTAATCTGGAAGCTTACGTCCGCTCTTTAGAGGAATAAAAATTAAATTAAACTTTCTAACCATACATCGTAATTGATACTAAAGCTATGAGAATATATTTTATTGGTAAAAAAAAGCGGTGTTTTACGGAGTGGCGCCGAGGCGCACAAATGGACCGGCAGTACTTTTTGGGGGTACGGTATCTTTCTACCGATCCACGCTTTAGGCACCGAAAAATTACGACACCTAAATACAGCATTACGCAACGTTGTACTCACCTTTTAAGCGTTATTTAGCAGCTTTTGCATGAGAACGGCTGATAATAAAGCTTTATTGATGCAACAACGGGGGAATAACAATAGACCGGTAGACCGGTAAATCGCTTTTCAAACAAATCTTCTAAAAGTAGACCGGTATCGGAGCTTTATTGCAGCTTAACTTGTCTTTTAGTCTTTAATGGAATTTTAGTTATTATTTTATTAAACTTTTTCTATTTGATACTGTTCTACTTTCAGCGTTCTTTGTTTGAAACATTATCTAATAATTACGCGCTCTTCCCGTAATTCTTTGGCATGTGTATTATATTGATTTATTCCTCGTTTAATACTTTGTTAGTAATCCGTGGTATTTAAAACTACATTTGGCGGGCAAATACTTTAAATAGCATATATTTAGACTAGTTTAATAACATACCGATAACTCAGCGTCGTTTTCCCGTGCCTTATGTGTAGTAGCGTTCGCAGTTCTACATCACCAGAGCGTGAAAACGATTATTCAAAGTGAAAAACCGACAGTAATGGTAAATATACCTTTCTGTTAAACCCACCGGATTTCCAGTTCAAGGATATGTGGTACAAAGGAAAGAAACTATAATAGTATTATTCATACTGTTAAATGAAAGACAAAGCTGTAGAGGTTAGGGATCTTACTACTCTACCATACGAATAGTTGCTATTTAAAGTATTAACCAACATTACTAAAATGATAAAAACCACGAAATACCAAAAGGCTAGACGAATACCAGAAGAAATTCTTCATTGTAACAAAGGAAAAGCGTGAGAACTACGGAGATAACGTTTTTGTGTAGATAACGCTTCAAATAAAATCTACCGGTCTACCGGTCTATTGTTATTCCCCCGTTGTTACATCAATAAAGCTTTGTTATCAACCGTTCTCACGCAAAAACTACTAAATAACGTGAAAAAGAGTGAGTACAACGTTGCGTAATGCTGTATTTAGGTGTCGTAATTTTTCGGTGCCTAAAGCGTGGATCGGTAGAAAGATACCGTACCCCCAAAAAGTACTACCGGTCCATTTGTGCGCCTCGGCGCCACTGTTTTACGGTCGAAATATTTGTTTTAGTGCACTAAAAAGTACATTGCGTTACGTTCGACATTTGCGAATTGCCATTCATAAGGCCGTTTCGAATAGGGACCATGACATTTCGAATACGCCTGTCCACGCAGTACGTTTATAGGCGTCTACATACCACCTTTCGGCACACCGTTTTCGACGATTTTGTTATGCGCGAGTTTTTCTTCATCTTAAAGGGATAGGGGGCGTCAATCGATTACCGCGGAGAAATGTTGCGCCCTCCCCCGCCCCCCCCAAGGGGGGTTCAACAGATGCCGTCCTCATCTCTTTAAGATAGATCAATGTTTATTTAGCCGCGTAGAAAAACAAATTAACGTTTTTGACGCGTAGTGGGCGGTGAGGGAGAGAGAGAGAATGGAGATGGCGCGGGGGATTGTCCCTACCAACTGCCCCCACAGAGAGTCATCACATTAGGCACCGTGGGGCCGATGTGAGGGTGATGGGAGGCTGAAGCAAAGGAAGGAGGAGGAGGATGGAAAGAAGGATATGTGGGGGAGAAGGAGGAGGAGGAGCCCCTCAGGGAATCAATCCACCAACCACTTCATAAAGTCCTTTCTCTAGGGCCAGCGAGTCACCATCCCCCAGCTTGATGCCCCCGATATGAAACCAATGCTCGTACATCCCCCCCCCCCCAAAAAAACCATTATGCCATAAGGGATTGGGGTAAAAATAAATACCCGAAAAATGTCTTAAAAAGGTGAAGGGGCCATTAATGATGAGAAAGCTAGATTTTTAAAATTAACGTTGATTTTTCGTTATAAACCGCCTAACATAACGCTATAATAACGTGAAAAAAACATTTAAATTCGATAATAAAGTTAAAAAATACATTTTTTTAGCAGCAGGGGTCGTGAAACCATCGAAATTATAAATTTCGTCGAAATAACGCTTCTACAAATAGAAATGATCACAAAATAAGCAACTAGGCTTTTGGGTGGGGAAATAATATGCAGCCGATGTTGCTGCCCCCGCCACCCCATTCATTGCCTAGTTCTCACGTCGTAAATTGATAGCCAAGTTCCCGGGCCGGTGGGCTACTCGCTGCGGATGGGGGGGCACAGCGGATAGACTTTCGAATTTGTCAAAGAAGGCTAATAAAGTTGCCGGGGTAGTAGAATGGATATGGAATAGGAGAAGCTGGCTTTATTCAGCAAGTAAAATTGGTTAAGACCTAGCTTCCTGTTAAAATAGAGGACAGAAGAATATCTCAAACTAGTAAATTTTTGCGAAGCCGCCAATGCACAGATACTGTAAACCATTAATTATTAGATTTCATTACAGAGTTCAATTCAACCATGGATGTAGCGTAATGTAGGCCCCCCCGCCCCCGAAATCGGCCGGGGCCCGGAAAATTCATAAGGGGGGACCCTTATCTTTTTGATTTTCTCAAACATTCGGCTGCTTGCGGCGATATTTCTTAGGGGGTTTCAGACTATTTTTAGAGCTATGTAACTTGTCTTTCCAAAATTACCGCCTGCGGCGCTTTTGTTTCGTTAAGCTCACAATTTTGTTCGGAAAAATTTTTCGAGGCCCCACCCGAAACTTTCTCTGGCTACGCCTCTGCTGAATACAACGTACAAAATCTACTTTGAAATTCTACAAATCTTACTTTAATTAAGCGCAATCGGCGAAGTTTACTAACCCAAAAAACCATTTTTAACGTTTAACGCATTGAAAATTTCCAAAAAACAATCATGTTTTGTAAGAATTCCTAGCTTTAAAACTCACGGTACTTATCAAGTTGGGTGGGGGGGGCACTTTGGTTTTCGTTTTTCTGAGTCTTTCTAGGCTAGTTTTTTGTGCTGGTTTCGAATATAACAAAATCAGAGTAGTAAAATACACTTATCTAAACGTTTGTTAAGATTTAGAGATGCAGACACCCGATATTAACCTAAAAATAACGCTTCGTGCCACCGGGCCTGGTCGCTTCGGATGGGTGCGAGCTCGTACAGGGTTTCGAAATCGGGGCGCCCGAGGCGCGCGTAGCGGCCAGGCGCCCCGATTTCGAAAGAGTGGAGCGGCAGCCCATCCGAAGCGACGGCCCACCTTGCCTGACAATGCGGCAAGCCTCAAATTTTGCATAAGTACACTTTTTATTAATAAATTTTTACGCGGGTTTTGTAGATAAACCCGACGGTTTTGCATGCTGTGGCTACTCTCTATGCACTCAGCGTAAAAAACTACCCCAGATAGACTCGAAAAAGCGATAAAAAAGTGTCCCCTACTAAGTACCCAAAGTGCCCCCAACTTGATAAGTACCAAACTCACTGAAAATATAGAAAGTCCAAATTTAGTAACAAAAGATGGCAATTTTAGCAACATCCGGCGCCGAAGGCATGGTTAAATATAGCAATTACCAATTGGGGGGAAACGTAAACTTCGAATAACCGGACATTATCCATGAGCAAAAAGAGGGGAGGTTATGGCAGGGAGGGGTGTGACGGGCGTGATGTCAGCAA